CCTGATGGTTCTGGCGGCCGTCGCCTCCTGGTCGAGCATCTTGCTGAGCCGCTTCTCCATCTCGGCATGCTCCTCCTCCAGCTTTTCCAGCGTAGCCCTGAGCTGCTTCATGCGCTCTTTGTGGGGCAGGACGAAGGAGATGCTCGCGGCGGTGATCGCCGCTTCCTGCTCGAGGCTGGATGTGCACAAACCCGCCAGCCTAGCGCCAGCGATGTTCTCGGAGAGGCGTCCCAGCCTGTGGCACTTCGTCTTGTACCACACGAACCTCATCTCCTCGTCGTCTGGTGGTGCGGACCAGCTCTCATGTTCCATCGCGACGGCGAAGGAGACTGGCGTGATGCTGTCCAGGACTGCCTTTTGCTGAGGGCTGTACTGGAAGCTGCCGATGTAGGCTGAGGCTGGAGCGTCGAGCTGGTCCCTTTTTTTGCGCCTGCTACTTCTCCTTCTGGCTGAGGCGCTCCTCCATGGCGCACTGTGCTTCCAGTGCTGGTCGCTGTCGCTTCGCTGCTGGTGCTGTGGGTGCTTTTGCTGGTGCTGGTGTTGGGCTGACTGGTGGTGGTGCTTGTGGGTCTGAGGCTGCTGCTGCTGCTGCTGCTGCTGACTGCGCTGCCTCTTCTGAGAGTCGTGCTGATGGCCATCCCCGAGGGTCCACTCCCAGGGTCGCCCTCCGATGGCTCCGTAGTCACCAGTCCAGTCATTGGCACTGCTGCTGCGTCTGCGCTGGCGCTGCGCCTGGGCTGTGGACCCTGCTCCTGTCCACCTTTTCCCAGGGCCGCGCCGCGACGCCTCGAGGTGTGTGGTCCCTGCTCCTGACCACCTTTCCCTCGAGGCGTCGCGCTGCTGTTTCCAGTTCTGCTCCATGGCGTGCTGCTGGTGGCGCTGGGGCTGCTGCGCACTGTGGTACTGATCCAACCTGCTGGCTGCAGCCGCCAATCTTATCAGCAGCCTGTCTTGTCCTCTTTGGGTCCTGGCGCGGCGGTGCCAGGCTTCTTCTTTGGTCCTGGGCGTGGCGGTCGGGGTGACCGCCGCGGCTGCGGCGCCTCTTTGTCTTCTCTTTGATGGCTCCGCGGCGCGCGAGCCACGACCGACGGGGCGACCGACGACGAACGATGCCGCGACGGTCCCAGCCCCTCCTCGGCCGTATGGTTTTGTGTTCCTCCTCCTCCTCCTCCTCCTCCTCCTCCTCCTCCTCCTCCTCCTCTTCCTCCTCCTCCGTACAGTAAGAAGGGTTGTTCTCGACAGGTCCACTCTGAGCTGTTCATTTTTTTCACGGCAAACAAATCCACCTCTCGAGAATCCGCCGACCCTCGAGGGGGTTTTCCAGACCACCGCGCACGATACGCACAACCTGGCAGAGAGCAAAAACCAGCAACGGCCCAAGACACGCAGGGGGGTCCTGCGAACGCGGCCGAAATTCTGCGTGAGAGGCCACGCGGGGAAAGGGGGAGGGAGGAGGTAAGCTCCGTCTGGTGGCAGTCGTTATCATGAGCATGAGCCTTCGGCCAAACGGTATGTGTAGACTTGTCCGCGCAGAGAACATCTCAATCCTGTCGCCACCAGCACTGGCATGTAATGGTCCGTTCCTGTTGTCTGGTCTCGCTGTTGAAATGTTTCGTTTCGTTGGGGTGTAGCGCCAGCACTGACCTTGCCGTTTCTCCTTGGAGATCCCGGAAAGTCATCTTCCATTGCCGCGAGTTTGGTGCGAGAACAAGCTCGTCGTCTGCAAATCGTAGATTGGTGGACCGCGTAACCTGGCGTGCCACAGTTTGATCCCAACTCCTTGTGCGTTCCCGGGAAAGCCTGACCTGTCAGAAAGCGTGCTCGCGCACTTCGATGAGAAGGGAGACGAGGAAGGGGGAGGGGTACAGGCGAGAAATATCCCCTGCTTCGCACGGGGGAGGCGAGCAAGGAGGTGGAGGAAACCGGGGAGCGAGATGTCGCCGAACCACAAGGAGGTTCTCGCCGAACCACAAGGAGGTTCGCGGAGACTTCACCGCGGCATGCTGGGGACGTTGGGGGCTTGGTTGGCGACAGGCCTTGTCTTGAACCACCCGACACTATGGAAAGGGCACTCTCCACCAACATGAAACCTCCACAAGGGCAGCGGGGACGGGATTGTGCAGGGGGGAGGAGGAAGGACGAGGGCCCTCCAGAAACGTCCATGATGGTCCAAGAATCCTCAATGGAACCGCCTGTGGCTTCCACGCTAGCCAAAGACGCATGCAAGACGACCCAGAAGTATACAAGAGCTGGAGCGATCAAGAAGAAAGCCCAGACATGCCCCGAGGACGGCAAAACACTGTTAAAACCAAGCTGTGTAATATCATGATGTCCCGATGCTTTGCCCCGCTGGTTCTCTGGCACAGGATGGCCGCAGGAATGCCAAGAGAGCCCCAGCATTGCTTAAGAATGGCCAAACCACCCCCCAAAACGGACGAATTGGTCTCCGTACGGGGAGGGAGGAGGAACGAGGGACACCCAAAGCTTCTCCAGACAAGCCCATGTTCCCCATGAGATCTGCAAGACGATCAAGAAGCGTCAACGCGCGTCTTGAAATAAGCACCAGGGGAGACCTCGAGACACCCCAAAAGAGGTTCCACATTGCCAAATTTGGAAGAGAGCCTAATGAGTCCACAAGATGGCCCAAGAGTGGCCGAAGCGTCGATCAGGACAGCCCAAGAATTCCTCGAGAAAACCACAACAGGGCCCAAGACCACCGCCTCCGGAAAGGACCCCGACAACCAAAAATGCAGCCAAGACCACCCCCTTGGGACAGCCGGGACGGCCCAAGATTGCTCCCAGATGGCGCCAAGGCGACCCCAAAGAGTCTCAGAAATCCCAAGACGCTCCAAGACGGACCCAGAGGAACCCAAGAGGCCCGCGGTACGGTCCAAGAGGGTCCCATGGAAGCCTAAAAAACAACCCAAGACGGCCCCACGAGAGCTCCTGTAAACACCCCAAGAAGGCCCCAAGAGGGCTCATTGAGGCCCCCGCAGTAACGCTCTCTCCATCTCACTCTATCTCTCTCTCTCTCTTTATCTGTCTCGCTCTCTTCTCTCTCTTTATCTCTTTCCTTCTCTCTCTCTCTCTCTCTCTCTCTCTCTCTCTCTCTCTATGTATATATATATATATAAAAATGTGTGTATGTGTATGTACACATACGTACACATACAACTATATATATATATATATATATATACACACACCTATATACATATATACATACATATATCGCTCGTGCTTCCGCGGCGCACGGTGTCCGGATGATCATTGTACAACCTTGTGAGTAGATAAGAGAAGCGCCCTTGCAGCTCGGGCACCGTCCTCGGTCGCGTTAGGAAGCGACCTCCTTACAATGGGAAGCTTCGTCTGTAATATATGCATACATACCTATATATATACACACATACATACATACATACATACATACATACATACATACATACATACTTACATACATACATACATACATACATACATACATACATACGTACGTACGTACGTACGTACGTACGTGCGTGCGTGCGTGCGTGCGTGCGTGCGTGCGTGCGTGCGTGCGTGCGTGCGTGCGTGCGTGCGTGCGTGCATGCATGCATGCATGCATGCGCATGCATGCACATGCATGCACATGCATACATAGATACATGCATACATACATAAAATACAGTTTATTATATATACATGAGTACATATATAACATATACCGTCTGCTCGACCTATTACTCCCCGTGTTCCTCCTCCTCGCCCCCCTCCCCCCATATTCCCTCTTCCTTTCTCCGTACCTCTATCATTCCCAAGCCTCTGTTCCTCCATCCTTCATCCCGGTTCCCATCTTTGCATACCTCCATCTTCAATCCCTCCAGAGCATCATCCTTTCATCCAGCCTCCCTCCTCCCTCCCTCAGTCCCTCATCCCTACATCCTTCATCCCCGAATCCATCTGCCGAATTATACCTGCATGCCTCCATCCCCCCTCCTCAATTCTCTCCTCCCTCCGTCCCTCCATCCCCCCCCCCCTCCGTCCACGTCTTCCCTCCAACTCTCCGTCCTCCCTCCTGCCTCCCTGCGGTCTCCCAAATTGAATCGTCCTTCCTCCCTCCTCCCTCCCGTACGCCCGTACGGGAAGACAGGCATCTCACACGCAGTAACTAAGGAGTCGAAGGCCCCAAGATGTCCCAGGACGGACCGCGGGTGGCTTTTGCGTTTTCTTGACACGCCTTGCATAATCATTCCTCCATCGTCATGGTTGTCCCACTCTTGCGTCCGGATTCGAGCTGCAATATCGCGTACAAGTGACTGCATGGCGCTCACTCCGCATTGCCTGCACATTGCTTCTCATTGACATTCGGCTAGATGTTAGGAAGCCATCTGGAGCAGTACGCAGCATGGTGCGTTGTAGATGTCATTGAGAGGTGGTTGAGGTTTGCGCAGCATTGTTCAACCATGTGAACATGCAAAACTGAAACAGTGCTGACCAGCACGAAAACGCAAAAACGTACATGGTTTCGGATACACTCAGGGCTCTGTAGGAACGTCGCCAATAAGCCAAGCATTGATATGTTTGGCCCCACACGCAACAAAGCGCTGCACACAATACATCACTGCGGTGGTCAAATTGGCGACTTTCCGCGAATACTTGGTCAAGAACCAATGCGAACAAATGTTCTGTTTCTATGGGCACGCTTCATCGCTTGCGTCCGTATCATGCCTCGAATGCGTCACTCAGCATGTGTCAATAATTGAGGATGGACGCGTCAGTGGACTGGACGTGGATGTGTTCAAACACATGAAGTTTACTCAAGTGTCCTGCATCTGTTTGTAGCCATGGCCAGGAAGTTATGTTGCGCATCCCTGCGCTGCAAATCCCCCTTTCTCCTGGACGATCCAGAAAGGCCGTGCAGACACGAGTCATCAGAAAAATCCTCACCTCGAGCGTCCTATCGTACTCCATACAAGTCATTGACACTGTCAGATTGTAACTACCACTGTCCCCCCATCCGCCTCCCGTTCTGCGCCGCGTCCGCTGCGCCAAGCCTGCATGGCGGGCGATGGCACCAGTGGCCTCAGCACCGTGGCGTGCCCGTGGCGCGCACGGCGCGTCGCGCGCGGAGCGGCGCCGCAGCAGCAGCCATTTGGCCACCGCAGGGGGCAGCCCCGCGGAGCGTGCCCGGGCGGGCCGGCCTGCGGGTGCCCCCCTTTGGAGCGACGGGGACGAAGGGCGGCAGCGTGTAGACTCATCGATCGCGGTATCCTGCACGTCGGAATGCGAAGCGACCTGGACGGAGGAGCACAGCAGGATAAGGAAGGATAGGATAAGGATAGGATAGGATAGGATAACAGCAGGAGAACAGCACGTCGAATAGGAGGAGAAGGAGCAGCAGGATGATTGTAGCGGCGCGCCCATCGGGAGCGGAAGGCCCAGACGAAACACGGAACATTCCAAGAGCAGAAGCGTGGGGGGGAGGGGGAAAGGAAGAGAAGGAGGAGGAGGAGGATTGCAGGAGGAAGAGGAGGAAGAGGAGGAGGAGGAGGAGAAGGAGGAGAAGGATGCAGAGGATGAAGAAGGGATGGGAGAGATTAGAAAAGAGGATGCCCCGGCAAAAAAAAAATGAGGAATGGGGGGAAAGCAAAAACGACGAGGAGGATGCCCTGGCACAAACGACGAACTACCATCAGGACCTTCCCCTGCTAGCGCCACGTTCCGCGGAGCCTCCCTGGCAGGCTCCCTGCCCACGGTGAAAAGGGAACCCGACGCCAAGGATTGCGGGAACCATCGCCTCTGGGGACGGCCGCAGAGGGCCGACGAAGAAAATCAAAAGGGAAGGAAAAGACCGGGGAGGAAAAGTGTGGATGAAGAATGAAAAGACCCAGGAGGCAGAGGTGGAGGGGACGGCTAGGACAACGTAGTGGAGGAAGGACTGGATGGCGGACGAAGCGAAGGAAAGTAGAGGAGGAGGGCTCTGACTCATCCGCCAGAGACATTCGCCAGTGGAACAAGATCCCCGGCAAATGTGGCATGCGAAGATGATGCGAGGTTGGTCTCGTTGCTGCTCTGCACAGGTCGTCTCGACATGGCTGTACATCCGGTAAGCTGATTCGCATTGGGTTTGCAAGTGCGGCGACGACACAATGTATTCCCATTGTCACTGACTCGGCCCGCGGTGGCGACCAAGTATCTCGAATCCAAACACAGCTGCGCTACACTATCGCACGACAGCGAAAGGCGGCGGCAGCGGCACAAAGACGGCAGGGGAAGATGCTAAACAACCCCCCCCCCCGCGGCGGGATGCGTAAGCACATAGTTCCAGCTGCCCAACTGTTACGGCACCGAGGGCGGGCGCCGATACTACCGTTGGAGCTCTCTTGAGGAGGGCCGACGAAGCAGACCGATGAATCCCATTACCCAGACAGCGCACGGAACGGCGTCAAAAGTGCATGCTAATGTTCCGGACCTGAGTATTTGCCCAGATCTGTTTGAGCATGTGATACGATTCAGGCTGAGCCAGTATCGAAATCTTATTTTCCTCTATCTGCGACGCAAGAACGCCTGCATTCGTTGGCGCACCAGAACTGCCACTTCGGCCCAGCAACACTCCAGACCCACTGGTCCGCATGCTTGGCGGGGTAGCGCTTGTTGATGCCCCGACCGCCAGCAGCGGCAGCGCCCCGACTCCGGCGGGTCCCCAGGACGGCTCGGCGGGAGTAGTCGGGGGCTCCATCTGCAAATGACGCACGCGCCCAGCCCCCCGACCACATCTCACCTGCTTCTCCATGTCCATAACCGGCTCCCGCGACACGCCGCGGCAGGGGGAGCAGGACACGGCACTGCGCCCGCAGGCGCATGAGATTGGCGGCCCCAGCTCCTCGGCGTCGGCGCAGACGGCAGCGCGGGCAGTGCAGCGCGTCACGGCGGCTGCCCAGGCGGCGAGTCAGAGCGGCGCCACATCGAGCTTGTTCGAGAATTGATCGGACCGCCTGCCTTATTTGCGCCTCGAATGCGCGGGGGCATCTCTCCTTCCATGTTCGGCGCAGAGGGCCCTCCTCAGACGGCGCGGCCCAAGCAGCGCCTCCCCCGTGTCAACTGACCCGTCTGGTAAAGCCACGCATCGTTGTCCTGCAATGAAACCTGCAACGTGTTCCCTGACAATGTTCAAGATTCTGAGCGACCGAACATCGAGTAGATGACTGGCGGTCTTCTTGTTCCAAAGATGTACGATGGCCATTGAATTTGCTGTGGAAACATGCTTTGCTATACGCATAACTACATGTGTAATTCATACGTATGACAGAAAACACGTGCCATTGTTTCACGTTCTTTCAGATTTTCCATCGCGCATTGGCGCGCGACCCTCTTCACGTCGTACACAGAGGTTATGACGGCCATCGCCGCATTGCGATCAGTGGACAAGTCCACGAGCTCTCGAGTCCAGGCCTCAACAAATATGTTCCCTCGGAGGTTTTCCCCGAGTGGATGATCTTGGGCAAATGTAATCTCCACGCGTGTGAGATTGAATGGAAGCTGCAAGTGGTTCGCCCTCTCCGTCGCTGTGTGTTCTGAAAAATAACGGCCGCAGAATGTTGAACATCCCGCGGATCTGGAATCGCCGGAGATGGATCTGCATCATAGAGAGTTGTTCGGTCAGGGCCTGGGCTCGCGGCGACTTCTTTCCCCCTTGCAAGTGACCTCGACGCGCGGTGTGGACGGTCCCAGAAGGCCTTCGTGTTCGTGACCGAGAAGTTAAAACAGCCTGGCTGGTTGTCCGCAGGCGAAGGCTGAGCCTCGTCCACGCTCTGCGTTGTGCCCGCCGATAAGCCATTGCTCGCTAGCCAAGCAGTAGCGGGAGGAACAGTTCCGCATGCTGTCGAATTGTCCTCCCAAATATCCAATCCCCCATTGGGAGCGTACGGATCACCATCAACTTCTGGCAGAGGGCCAGCCACCAATCGGCACCCTCGTGCAGCGATGCCTGTTCGAGAATGGCTTCGGCTGATATGCTCAAACGAGCTTGCCCATGCACGAGGCCTTTTCACATTGCGACGTTCTGCCCCTTCTGATTGAAAAGAAGCCATGTACGCAGTCTCCTCTGCATATGTCTGATCTATCCCGCAGGAAAGGTAGCACGGCAAATCATGCAGCTTCTTTTTGCCACCCCCAGAGACGCTGACCCACTTCGTTTCGTTGTAGCATCTCTTCCGAAACTCCTTCTCCTCCTCGGATTCTGGCTGCATTTTCCCCACTACCCGGAAAACTGGCGCCGCCCGAGGCCAGGTTGCCCCGTGCCTTAGAATATGCCTTCTTGTTCTTGGGAGAATGAACCGCTGTTGCACTTGGATCGGCAGTGCCCAGTTGGGCCTGCAAACTAGGATTAGGGCATGAACGGTCAGCCGCCCACACAATTGCATCGGCCGGCGGCGCCGGCAACTTCAAGCGATAGTGCTCTAGCAACACGGCCTCGACCTTGCGCGACGTGTCATCATCCACAGAACAAGCCCAGCTCAGCTCGGGGGCCTGCTGACCCGGGTCAGTCAGACCCGGGTCAGCAGGAAACCAAAAAACTGCAACGCATGAAAGAAATGCAACGCAGGGCTTCGCAAGCCCGGGTTAGGCAACGCGCGCGGCCGCCTCGCGGCCACGAGCGGCTTGCTAACCTGAGTCAACCAGAGGGGGCCTTCGCCGGATCCCGCGGGATCCAGTGCCCTGGCTAACCCCCGTTTGCATTGACCCCCGTCTCTGAAGCCCCGATCAGCATCGGGAGCGGGCCCTTCCGGGGGCGCACCCGGGATGAACAGAGGACCAACGCGCGGCTGAAAGCCAACAAAAAAACTTTCAGCTCTGCGAGTCTGGGTTCATCCTCGTCGATGGCTTCCTCTAATTCTGAAGACAACCTAGAAGGCATCACGCCGGGCAAACGAGGAAACTCTTCGTTGGTCCATGGGTCAGCGAAGTATCTGGAATGGGCAGTCGAATTGGGCTTCCTACCCTTTTCCACATTCCATATCGCCCAGCAAGGCAGGCAAGGAACCCATGCTGCTTCGGCATCTGCGCCATGATCGGATCGTCCGTCCCCGAGGACCGAGCCAACGAAGGGCTGGCCGTGAAACAATGCTGCCAGCCCGCTGGTCCTCACAATATACTCGGCCAACATGACAAGTGCTCCAACAACGACGCCTCCTTCGCCGATGCAAAGCGGATTAGTTTCGAGGAAGTCGTAATCACCATTCAGGGGCGCTTCAATGGTCGAGACGCCGCAGCTCCGTCCAGACTGACAATATTTGGGCATACATGAAAAGCCCTATACTGTTCGATGCGATGGTTCATGTCAACTCGGACCAGAGTGGCAATGTAATTCCACATCTTCCAGGGATCAAGGTCGCCGTTTGCAGAGATCCAGCAAAAAAGTTCTCCCCCAATGTGGAAGACGTGCGTCACGTTGGTGGGAATGCGTTCAACGACATCATCCACGAATGCGACGGCCTCCGACAGGGCTTTGGTTGTGGAAGAGGCTAGGTACTCCAGGCTTCTCGATAAGACACCCACAAGCAGCCCGATCTTGCCATCAGACACAATGTTCAGATCCCCCCCCAAAAAAAAAGAATCACCTTGATAATCGTCGTGCTCAAAGACGTCCTTTCCGAGACACCCCGCGTTCTGTAGTTGGCTCCGAACCCCGATAGCTGTCGAAGCAGCAACGGCTTTCTGCAACCAAGCATGCGTCACAACTCTGCAATGGGGCTCGCTCGCTTCGGATTTGAAACTCGACTGGGAATCATTCTACTTCACGTTGTAGGACAAACTCGTGGAGCCCCCCGTATCTCGTCGAGATCCCGTTCCAATGATGATACGTTTGGCCGTTCCGACCCCCGCGCGGCCACTGTTGCAACGGCGGAAGAAGTCCTTTCGCAGCCCCCCCGAGGAAGCCGTCGCAGAGATGTCCTCTCCGACGAACGGTACCCACCCACGGGAGATCCTCGACCAGTTCATCCCATTCTGCCGTGGGCATGGAATCTGCATTGGCGAGTTCGTTGTTTCCTTCCTTATGGAAAACGCCTACATCCAAGGTCTCCTTCCATTGCATGAGGTCCCATGGACAACGTGAGATACACTTGGGGTCAGGCCACGTTCCCGTGATTTGGACCTTGGTAATCGCCTTCGCTGGCCCAGGCTGGGACCCTCCCATCTTCTGTCGGACGCTGCGGT